CCCATACACTAGCCAACAGTTGGAGCTACTTCGCCCAGCTTGCCTGACCCCCAGGTGTGAGCCATGTGATCACCAGTGGGAGTTATGACCCACTAGGGGAGTTTCCCAACATTCCCCAACTTGGCCCACTCCCAGACCCAGATCTCATACCTGCCAGCAGGTGTTAGGCCCTTGCCTGGCATAGCTTGCTCCTCTCTCTTGGCCCTGTATAAGCTGGTGAAGGTTGCAGCCCAGCCCGCCCCACCCTGTTTTAGAATGCACATGCAGGTGCTGCATCCTGGATCTGCCCAGAGTGTTCTTGATCCCTGTACCAGTGAGCGATGGCACACCTAGCTCAGTCCATCTCCACCCCAACTCTTGAGCTAACTACCTGGACTAGCATTTCCACAGGGTTTGGCCCACACATTCCCCCCAGAATCTACCCCTGGACCTGGTTCTCTCATGTGTTGGATAGTGTCATGGCCCTGCCTAATGTGACCCATCCCGTTTCGACACTGAGTCAGGTACAAGGATCTAGCCCTGTTAGACAACGCCTATCCCCAGCCCCAGCCCTAGCTTTCACATGTACTGGTGTGGTGGTCAGCAATGTTCCATAATAAGCCCTACTCAGGACTCACATGTAGGCTGGTATATCAGTTTGACCCACATAGACCTTTCAGTCTCTCTCCAAACCACCAGGTCTTAGTACCCTTGCTTACCTGCAAGTGCAGTGACCCTGTCACTGCGACTCCCTCAGGATTTAGTCCTCATCAACACACAGTGTGGCTTTATGCATGGATGTCTCTAGGCAGCAATTCCACACTCCTAAGACTTCAGAGCTTGCCGCCAGGTAGCCAATGGGCTGAGCCCAGTGCCAATTGGCATGCTAGCTGCCCCAAAGCCTAGGACTCACCGCATGGCAGCGGTGGCTGTGGCTAGGGTCCCAAGCATTGTGTCTGACCTGGCTCAGGTACCCCCAGCAGCCACCAGGCTGCTGGAAGCTCCCACCACCCATACCCCAAGGTCAAGCTCCCTCTTTTTAAAAGATTTGTTTTCATTGGAAAAACAGGTATCCAGAGAGGAGAGACAAAGAGGAAGATCTTCCGTCTGCTGATTCACTCCCCAAGTGAGCACAATGGCCAGAGCTGAGCTGATTCGAAGCCAAGAGCCAGGAGCTTCTTCTGGGTCTCCCACATGGGTGCAGGGTCCCAAGGCTTTGGACTGTCCTCAACTTCTTTCCCAGGCCACAGCAGAGAACTGGATGGGAAGCAGGGCCACTTGGACACGAACCAGCACCCATACGGGATCCTGGTGTGTACAACGCAAGGATTGAGCCCTCTCCTATGTCCTCTAATAAAGGTGTTATCGTTTAAAAAATTATTTGCGTATTTTAAAGGCAGAAAATGGCAGATCTTTCATTCCCTGGCGCACCCCTCAATGGCCACAATAGTTGGAGCTAGTTCAGGAAGTCAAAAACCCACAACTCTGTCCAAGTCTGTTTCCCACATGGGTGGGAGGGACCCTAACACCTGCATCATCTTCTACTGCCTTCCAAGTGTGTTAACAGGGAAATGGACTGAAAGTGAAGCAGCCAGGACTGGAACTGGTACTCATATAGGATGACGGCAACAAGAGGCATCTTAACACACTGAGATACAATACTGGCCCCAGAGTTTTAACTCTTACATATAGGTCTCTGATTAATTTTCATATGAGAAGGGTCTGAATTCATTTTCTTGCCTTTGATAAGTATTCTTAATTTTCTAAACCTTTTAAACCATTCAATTTCCATACAAATTGCTTGCCAGTTTTTCCAAAGAGCCTGCTGTTTTTGTTTATTTGAAAGGCAGTTACAGAGAGGACACACACACAAGCCAGAGAGAATCTTCCATCTGCTGATTCACTCTCTTGATGGCTGCCAACAGCCAGAGCTGAGCCAATCTGAGGCTAGGAGCCAAGAGCTTCATCCAGGAATCCCATGTGGATGCAGATTTTCAAGGCTTTGGGCTATCCTCTACAGCCTTCCCAGATCACAAGCGGGGAGCTGGGTGGGGAGTGGAGCAGCTAAAACATGAATTGGCATCAATATGGGATGCCAGTACTGAAGGTGGAGGCTTAGCCTGGCACTGGCCCCTCTGCTATAATTTTGATAGGGGTGGCATTGAATCCATATCAATTTGGGGAGAACTGTTTGCTTATATTTGAGACAGAGATTGAAGGATTTGTGAGGGAGAGTGTGGCAGCATGCTCCTATCTGCTGGTTCACTCTCCCCAAGTGCTTGCAATGGCTGGAGCAGAGCCAGGGCAGTCAGGAACTGAATCTAGATCTCCCGAGTGAGTGTCAGGAACCCAGCTACTTAAATCATCCCTAGTGTCTTCTCAGGTCAAATTCCCATGATGCTGGAATCTGGAACCAGAGGTAGGCATCACACCCAACCAAGAAGACGTCAGACATAGGCACCAGGGCAAATGAATGCCCCAGAACTCTTATCTTAACAGTAATCTATTTCCCAGTTCATGAACATGGAATGCCTCCAAATGTGTTATATTTAAAAAGTCTCTGAGTGTTTTAAACTTTCCATTATGAAGTACTACTTTTTTTGTTAAATGTATTCTTAAACTGAATTCCTTTGGATACTATCATGAATGCAGCTTTAAAAAAATTGTTTTTAAAAAAGGATTTATTTATCTTTATTTGAAAGGCAGACTTTTTACAGTGAGAAAGATCTTCCATCTGCTGGTTCACTTCCCAAGTGGCTGCAATAACTTGAGCTGAGCTGATCTGGAGCCAGGAGCTTCTTCCAGGTTCCCCACGTGGGTGCAGGGTCCCAAACCTTTGGGCCATCCTCGACTGCTTTTCCAGGATACAAGCAAGGAGCTGGATGGAGAGTGGAGCTGGCAGGACAGGATGTTGGCAGTTGCATGGGGAGAATTAACCAACTAAGTGATTGTACCACCTCCTTTTTTCTTAACTTCATTTCTGGATTTTTTTTCATTGCAATTATACCAAGATTGACTGTTGTATATTGATTGTGTGGTTGTGTTAGATCTTCATCCAATGAGATCAGTTAAACATGTCAATTGACTGTATATTATCAAGGAAGCAACAGCCTTTGTGTGCTTATTTTTTTAAATCTTAAAAAATGTATTTACTTCTTTGAAGGGCAGAGTGGGAAAGACGGAAGGAGGGAGGCAGAGAAAGAGATCTCCATCTACTCGTTCACTGTCAAAATGAGCTGGATTGGAAGTAGCGCAGTCAGAGCTCGCACTCTCACATGGGATGCCAGTGTTGTAAGCAGCGGCTCAACCTGCTGTATCACATTGCCTACTGTGGAGTTCACTCTTGGCAGTCCCTTCCCAAAGAGGCTGAACTGGCGAGTGCAACAGAGCATAGGACTGAAGTGCAGAAGGTTTATGTGACTCGGCCTCACAGCTAATTACTCGGAGACAGGAAGGGAATTTCCATTTCTGCCTCTTTGCCCACCAAGCTCCCCAATCCTCCCATTGCTTTCTGGTCTCTTCCATGACTGAATTTTAACAGTTGCCATTTTCTCCAGAGTCTGAAAGTACAGATCTGGGGAGCAGCACTGTGGCATAATGGGTACAGCTGCCTGCCACCTGCAATGCTGGCACCCTATATGGGCACTGTTCATGTCCCAGCTGCTCCACTTCTGATCCAGCTCCCTGCTAATGTGCCTGGGAAAACAGTAGAGGATGGCACAGTGCTTCAGCTCCTGCCACCCATTTGGGAGACCAGATGAAGCTCTGGCTTCAGCCTGCTTCAGCTATGGCCACTGAGGTCACTGTGGGGGTGAACTACCAGATGAAAGACCCCCTTCTATCCTTCCTGCTCTTTCAAATAAATAAAATTAATCTTTAAAGAAGTATGGCTCTGATTTTATTTATTTATTTTTGGTCTCCAAGAAACTTCCCAGATTGTCTGAGACCCCCTTTCAAATACTCTGAAGTTCCTTCCAACTTGCCTGAGACATTTTTAAAAGTAACCTAAATTCTATAGGTTTTCTCTTTTTAAAAAAGATTTATTTATTTGACAGGTTAAGTTACACACAGAGAGAGAGAGAGAGAGAGAGATAGAGAGGGAAAGAAAATCTTCCACCTGCTGGTTGTCTGCTCAAATAGCTGTGACAGCCAGGGCTGGGCCAGGCTGAAGTCAGGAACCAGAGCTGCTTCCAATGGGCGCAGGGCCCCAAGAACTTGGGTTACTTGCTGCTGCTTTCCCAGGAACATTAGCAGGGAGCTGGGTTTAAGTGGAGCAGCTGGTACCTGAATGGTGCCCATTTAAGAATCTGACTTTAAAAGTGTGGCTTCACTTGCAATGCCACAATGCTGACTCCAAGATTGTCACTTAAAAAAAAAAAGATTTATTTATTTTTATTGGAAAGTCAGATTTACAGAGAGCAGAGACAAAGATCTTTGTCTGCTGTTTCACTCCCCAAGTGCCTGCAATGACCAGACCTGCCGATCTGAAGCCAGGAGCTCTTCTTGGTCTCCCACATGGGTGCAGGGTCTCAAGGCTTTCGGTAATCCTTTACTGCTTTCCCAAGTCAGAAGCAGGGAGCTGGATGGGAAGTGGAGCAGCTGGGACAAGAACTGGTGCTCATATGGGATCCTGGTACATGTAAGGTGAGAATTTAGCCACTAGGCTATTGTACTGGGCCCAAGACTGTCACTTTTGAAAACAAACTACATATTTCATGTTTAAAAACATTTCCTTGAGTTAAGAAAATTGATATTCTCCTGTTTTGGACTTAGGAGATTAACTGTTTGCTTAGGTTACTTTCCAGTGCAGTCAGCTTCTTTAAAATAATGACTGGATTTCCAAAGGGCTTCATTTTAGTTTGTATTTATTGATCTGTTGTTCAATAGAATCCATTAGTCAGATGAGGGGGTGGGCAAAATGATAGTTTTCTGACCAACTTACATGACGCTAGAATCATCCAGAAAAATCAGAGGTAATTATATTTTCTTGAATAGTCATTCAAGTTTCAACTTAAGACTTCAGCTTTCATTTTCAAGTGAAAGTATCATGTCTTGCAGCTAAGGATCAGGGACTTGGTTCTCCTGGCTGGAGTAACAGTCCTCTACCTGGAAGAGTCTGTCTGTGCGTTTTGAACTAACAGAGCTCATTGTCAGGTCACTACTGGGCTAGAATTCTGGAAATGGTGAGGAAAAATCCATCTTCTATGTTGCCTTCTTGGCTTATATCTGTGAAGCAAAAAGTAAAAAGACAATTTGAATAAAATGTGTAAATGTCAGCTGTTGCAGAGTGTACTGCCTTCCCAGCATGCATTCCCTTTCTTCAACTTTGTGACAACAATGGTTTGAGTGGGGCAGGTCCAGCTTCGTATTAAACCAGAGGGGTAGGCTTGACTGGCCTAGGCCAACTGGTAAAGCCCTTCTTTTTCACCCATTCACTGTCTGTATAACTCATAGCATTCCTATGTTTGTGGATTACAGACGTACTCAATCTGTGTGAAGTTCAAAACTCACCAGGACAGTGTGGCACACTATATAAAACTGGGAACTACTGAACCATTGTGCCACCTCTGGTTGGCAGCTGCTAAGATGACCCTGCATGTTAGTGCCTCCTGGCATTCATACCCGATATTTGTACAATTCTCTCACGTGACAGTAAGCTGGACCCAATGACTATTTCCTAATAGAATACAGTAGAAAAAGTGGTGGGCTGCCACTTCTAGGACTGTGGCTTCTACTGTGGGGATCCTCTCCCACTGGCTCACTCTGAGGGAAGCTCCATGTCATGCTGTGAAGTATGCTAAGAGAGGCCCACCTGCAAAGAATGAGGAGAAAGTCTCAGATAACAGTCAGTGAAACTGCAGTTCTGAGTTTATTAACGGAACCTGTAAGTGAGCTTCAGAGTTCTCCTGGTGAGGTCTGCAGGCCCTGCAGACAGCTCAACGGCATCTTCAGGGAGGAACTTAAGTCAGAGGCCCCACAGCTCACCTTACCCAGATTCCTGACTGAGAAACTAAGATAAAAAAAAAGTTGGTTTTAAGCCACTAAATTTGAGTGATTTGTAAAAATTAAAGCAACAAAAAATATACTACTCTAATAAAAGCTAGCTAGAGCTACATGTTTTCCCTATTATTTGCAACTGAAAGCATATTAGTGTGTTATCTAACAGTGGTCTTGAAAATGTTACATTAAAATGTTTACACTCAAATCAATTTGCTATGTTTACAAAAATCATACAAAAACAGCCAATCTACCTATTTAAACTCATCTCCATTTCTCATATGGAAAATTACATAATAAAGCCCCTCATTTTCTAACAGTTCCTTTATAATACTGAAGAAGTATGGGCCAAGGATTGCCTTATTACTTACTAAACAAATGAACAATGTAAGGAACTAATGATTTCAGAGTAACGTCAAGTTCACTTAAAAGAGATTAATTGTTGAAAGTCTTCTGTTTTTTAAAGGAAATGTTTCCTACGAGGGATGAATTCCTTCAGTTGTAACATCAAAGCAGCACCTATCTGAGCACGTGGGAATGTGTGAAGTGAGGGAGGGAGGGAAGGAGAAAAGGAAGGAGAAGGGGGTGCACGCTGTGAGGGGCCGAGGAGCTGGAAGTCACCTGCTTATCTCCACAGGAGATGGCAGAGGTGCAGGCTGGATAAGAGGCGTTTTCACCCAGAGGTGGAAGATGAGGATGCCCACATGGATGGGGAGACCTGGTGCTGAAGCACATTGTTAGCTTCTGGGAAGAAACTTATCAAAGAGGACATGTGGGGACGCCTGCGCTTGAGGATAAAATTGATAGGGTTTCCTGAATTACAAGAAACAGGACTAAGTGCAACAGCTAGAAGGGAATTCCAGCAACCAGGACAGGACCCAGAGTAAGGGCAGACATGTGGCCAAGGTGGCTGAGATTGAAGGGCAATCAGGTCCTTCCTCAGCAAGCTGAAGGCACTCTGTTCTGTTCTTGGTGTTTAAAATTTCCAGTACGGAAAAATGTACACAGGCCAAAACGAAGGGAAAAAATTCAAGTAAAACAATTCAACTCACCATTTTGGTTGACAGCTTGTTCTAAATATGATGGTTAAACTTTCAAGGTCTTCATTCTTTAAATGTAATTCACTCAGCAGGGTGGCTAAGAACTGGGTAAACACATTTTCCCGTGAATGCTTCTCAATGCCAAGGATTGGGGCCAGTCTGAAACGATCCAAAGCACCAAGTGCACATCCATGAAATGAGCTGAGCTGAGGGACTCCCACCCTCACTGTAGCTGAGAGGCTCTGTGATCCAGCAAAATCCCCAGAGCGAGAAAGGTTAACTGACAAAGACAGAAGAGAAACCCCAGGAAAACAGCAAGGGATGAAACACTGTGAAGTATGGAAAGAACCTTAAATGCCTGAAAACTATAACGTATTCTTCATCATGCCAGCAAAAATTATTAATAAACTCACTACACTTGGGGAAGAAAGGTGGTAGAAAGAAACTCAGAACTGAGAAGTGGTTTAAAAGTGCAATTTACATGGACTACTGGGATTATGTCACTTTGGAAAAAAGCAATCAGTGATGAGCAAAGATCACCTTTTGAATTTATATATATTTTAAAATGTGAAACACTAAAAAATTTGAAAGGCAGGCAGGCAGACAGGCAGACACACAAAGACAAAAAGGACCATCTTCCATCAAGTGGTTCAGTCCTCAATGCCTGCCAGCGGGGGACCAGGCCAAAGCTGGGAGCCTGGAACTCAATCCGGCAAGACCCAAAGACTTGAGCCACTGCCCATTGCCTCCTGGGTGTGCAACAGCAGGAAGCTGGAATTGGAGGTGGAGCAAGGACTCAAACGTACTCTGAAACGGGATGTAAGCATTCCACGTGGTGCCTATACTGTTGAGCCAAATGCTTTCCTCTAGTATTTTAATTTTGAAACACTAAATAAATGAATTACATCTCACAAGGTACTTAATACCAACTTGATATGGGACAAATTGTTTTTTCCCTTCTAATCATTTCTAGTAAATGCCCTTAAAGAGTGACTGTTTATAATGGAATCTTTTTGTTGTTGTTTTAAGATTGATTGATCTGAAAGAGTTTCAAGAGAAAGGGAGAGATGGAGAGCGATCTTCCATCTGCTGGTTCATTCCCCAAATGATTACAATGGCCAGGGCTGGGCCAGGTCAAAGTCAGGACATTCTTGTTGGTCTACTATGTGAGTTCAGGGGCCCAAGTATTTCAGCCATTTCCCACTGCTCTCCCAAGCCTATTAGCAGAGAGCTGGATGGGAAGTGCGGTAGCTGGGAGCTGAATCAGCACCCTTATGGGATGTCGGTGACGCACGTAGCAGCTCCACCTGATACACCACAACTGGCCATAATGGAATCTTCAAAATAATTTTCCTTGAAATGTGATTAGTGAGTATGATCTCCAAGAAATGGAGCAAAATCTAATCATAAAGATTAAAAACCATTACCTTTCATAAATATTTTTTTTTATCTCTACAGACAGCACAGTTTGGAAAATCCTTACAAAATATATTCTTGGAAAGTTCTTGGGAAAAATTCCTTTAAGTTAAATAATTTTAAACTTCCCAAAACTCTTTTAGATGCATATCTGACCTTGGTCACTGCCACTGACTACATGAAGTACAGCCAAAACTCTCAGACTTAACAAAAAGCTAAAGAAATCAGAGCCAATCATTTTGGCAGTAGTGAATGTGGAATGGGAAATGTTATTATTTATTCCTTGCTTATCTCATAGAGAAAGCATAAGCAAAGGGAAAAATTTGTCAGAATTGTCCAAACATGGCTAGGACAGTAATAAATTCTCTTTAGCCCTCCAGGTATCTTAGCAAGAACTGAAGATTGGTTGATTAAAGGACTAGTCTATTTAGAAAAAATGGAGTTAATAACATGTACCTTAAAAGAGTACCACTGGGGCTGGCATTGTGGCACAGTAGGTTAAGTCTCTGCCTCTAGCACCAACATCCCATGTAGGCACTAGCTTGAGTACCAGCTATTGCACTTCTGATCCAGCTCCCTGCTAATGTGCCCGGGAAAGCAGCAGCAGATGGCTCCTTGGGCTCCTAGACCTGTGTGGGAGCTCCTATATCCAGAAGCAGCCCCTGGCTCCCAGCTTTGGATTGCCTCAACTCCAGCCACTGTGGCCATTTCAGGAGTGAGTCAGCAGACAGACGGAAGTGCTCTCTTTTCCTCCCCCATATGATATTTTAAGAGTACTACTAAAAAACTCCAATGCGATACTCCTGCATCACTTTTTAATCAATAACACTAATTTCTTTTTTTTAAGATTTATTTATTTTTTAAGATTTATATCCTCTCTGTCAGATATACAGAGAGGAAGATCTTCCGTCTGATGATTCACTCCCCTGGTGACCACAACAGCTGGAGTTTAGCCAATCCAAAGTCAGGAGTCAGGAGTCAGGAGCCTCTTCCAGTTCTCCCACGCGGGTGCAGGGTCCCAAGGCCTTGGGCCGTTCTCGACTACTTTCCCAGGCCACAAGCAGGGAGCTGGATGGGAAGTGGAGCTGCCGGGATTAGAACCGGTGCCCATATAGGATCCCAGTGCGTGCAAGGTGAGGACCTTAACCACTATGCCATTGTACCGGGCCCAATAACAGTAATTTCAACTAACTTCTGCTGTGTGCTACCCATGAGCACTAAAGCGATACCGGCTCTAAGCATGAAATTACCATTAACTACACAGTGATGTTGGAGATGAAGTTAGGAAACAAAGGCACACAGAAGTTGGATTTCCTTAAGGCCACAAAGTAAGTAGCAAGTCAGGGCTTTAAACCCAAGCAATTTACCCTCAAAAACTAGCTTGCTTGCTTGCTTGCTTGCTTTCTTTCCTTATCTCTCTCTCTCTTTTTCCTCCCCTTCCCTCTCATCTGCTCTCCTTTCCTCTTCCAAAGACCTGAGCCATCCTCTGGAAGTGGAGCAGCTGGAATATAAACTGGCACTCATACAGCATGCTGGAGCTTACAGGTAGAGTATTTGCCTGCTATGACACTGTGCTGGCCTCAAAAGCCCATTCTTAGAGCCAGTGTGCTACTCTTAACTCTTTAGTGGGACTTGCCTGACATGTGTACTGAGCCCTCGATAAACATGCTGAAAGAACTGAGTAAGTTTTTAAAAAGATTTACTAATTTTCATTTGAAAAGGCAGTCATAGAAAAAAAAGGAGAGACAGCAGGATCTTCTATCTGTTGGTTCCCAAATAGCTGTAATGGCTGGAGCTGGGCTAATCTGAACCCGGGAGCTTCTTTCAGGTCTCCCATGTGGGTGCAGGGGCCCATGGCCCCGCCCAGCCTCCGCTGCCCTCCCAGGCCACAAGCAGGGGGCTGGACTGGAAGAGGAGCAGCCTGGGACTTGATCTGGAGTGTAGATGAGATGCTGGTGCTGCAGGCAGACACCCAGCATGCTATTCACAGTGCCAGCCCCTAGAACCTGATCATTTCAACTTGCATTTCAGAACTGGAGGCCTCTAAGTGTACACACAGGAAGCAGTTGGCAGGCAGAAGGAAGTTTTGATAGAGAAATCATGCAGGGGATTGTGAAGGAGTATCAAGGTGAGGCCTGGAGATTGCTGCAGCCAGTCATCGGGCAGACAGGCAGGAATCTTCAGGCGTCTGAGGATTTCCTGGCCACCCTAACATGTGAGCGCTACGTGCTACTGGGAGACGAAAGTTAGCCAACAGATTTACTTTACCCTTATCTATCTCTTTGTACTTCCTTTTTGATAGTTAATTGAAAAGACTGCTTCCCTGCCCCTACCTCTCTAATATAGAATGTAAATGACTATGGAACCATAGACTATCCAGTTTCTAAAAGTTATAAGCTGACTTAAATTCCTTTTCTTGTAAGGGGAGGCACCTGGATACCTCTAAATCACTAATCACACATGGATTAATTCTGGAGAGTCACATAAAAAATTCATTTTGTGTTTAAAAGTATCCTCTTGGAAGCCAGGCTCATGAATACAAAGAACAAAGAATGGTTTTGACAAAATATGAAATTGCAATAAATAATATGTCAAGGAAAGATGCTGAGGCTTGAAAATTGGACTTAAAATTTTATGAATTATTCATTTAAAAGAATTATGACATTTCTATTTCTACTTTAAATGTAATTTATATTGAAGTTGGGTAAGGATTATATATTAATCTTTATGTGTCATGCTTTAATACATTTCATCACTTTAACAGCAGCTGGGAAGTGGCCCACTCTCCCAGCATGGCTGCTCCCTGTGCAGCTGCTTTACTTCGATATCACTTCTGCAGTAAGAGGCTCTGTGTCTGCTTGCATAGATGAAGCACAGGCAAGATCTCAGCATTCTCGCAGCCTACCATGTCTTAGTTTGCTGTTTCCATTGTCAAAGATGCTCCTAACCAACTACTGTTTTTTTTTTTTTTACGAGGGCTTGCTGTGTCATTGACAGGTGTTACGGGGCTGCCCTGGGTTTAGGTGTCCATCTGCCATGGAGGAATAGTGCACTGAGCTTGGAGTCCGAGTCTCTCTTTGTTAGCAATGATCCTAGAAGAGGATTTTGTGAACCATCAAGCACTGAGCATCACAGTCCCTTTGTGTGTGCTTAGAACCAGGTTCACTGACAAAGGAACAAATACTCATTCCTGGACCTGTTCTCTGCATGGTCAGTTACGGTGTCCTCACTGCCACATCCAGAGCCTCTTTGGAATTCTTTTCTCAGTTGACTGCAGCATGTGATGGCTTTCTCCCTTCCTAGAATTCTGTTTTGGCATTATGTTCAAATTTGAATGTCTGGTCCCTCATTTCCATTCAAACATGCTGGAATTAGACACTTAGTCGTTTTAAACTCTTACCCCTAGTCTGTCACCTACTAACTGTCCCTTAAATCCCTTCCATCTGCTGTAGTCATACTGTCCCTGTCCTAATGCCAATGCCTGGACTACTGCCTTAGCTTCCTAAGACTAAGTGGTCTCCTGCTCCAATCCATTCTTCACATTTGCCATCATGGTCTTCTTTCACAGATCTCATCATGTCACTCTGCTCTTTAATAGCTACTCATAAGAGAAATCTATTTTCTTTTGGCTTCCTTTTTTTACTGTTCAGTCACATGAATGCATACTCACAATTATTTCAAATAATATAGAAGTATGTACCATTAGTTATATAAATTTTGTATTACCCACTAGGCTATGGAAG